TGCTACCCCACCCCCTACCTCTACCCCGACCCCACCCCCTACCACCGCTGGCCACAGCCCTTCTGGTTTTTCTACCTTTTCCCCTTTCCCTATCTCCCTTCCTGCGGAATCAAATGACCCAAGTAGAAGAAAACAGAAAAGTGTTTGAAGGATCTGGAGCCTGAACTGGTGATGGGTGGGGAGCTGGCTATAGGGCTGGGTAGAGACGTAGGAGGCAGTTGGCTGGACCCGGGGTCGGGGAAAATGAATATGAATCAATCCATCACTCTCTTCTCCCTACTTGAAAACGAAAAAAACTGAATAGAAAAATTGTGTAACTTTTAAAACCACCTCTGTCTCCGGGTCTTCTCTCTCTCCATGGAGAGAAGCTGAAAATCACGCCCCACCTCCAGGATTCTTAAAGTGTTACTAGGGTGGGCTAGGTCAAAGAGGTGGGGAGGTCTGCAGGGAAGTTCTCTCCCAAGGCATCCCTGTCCTTGTGTTCTTTCCTATTTCCAGAGCATGTCTCCCTGTTCTGTGACGCGGACTCTGGAAGGGAGCACTGGCACCCAGACACACTGTCAGGTCCCTGTCACCTATGGCGCGCCACAGCCAGAGCCACCCTAGGTCCTTACCTGAGCTGGCCTGGGGTCCTCGACCGAGCAAGGCTGGATTTGGAGGCCACTGAGAGGCGTCTGCTCGTTCGGCTGCGGGTCAAGCAAGGAAAGTTCCAGCTCTTCCCTGGTCGACGGGGGTCCGGCCCCTTCCATGGAACCGCAGAGGACCGTGCAGCTCCTCCGAGAGGCAGAACTCACGCACCTAAAGGTGCAGAGTCCAGGGCAGGGAGCGTCCTGGGCTTACACTCCACCCAGCAGGCAAGGCGCGCCGGGTAGACCTTGGGCAGCGCCAGCAAGACCTGGGGCGGCTGGCCGGGAGGGGAGGGGCGACTCTGGTGAGTGGCTGGCACTCTGGCTGTGGAAGGCTGACCTCGATCCGGCAAGGTAGATCGGGTGGGACAAGCTCTATCGTGGGCTCCCGAGCAGAGGAGGGCTGTTTTTCTGGTTTGTTCAGGGCGCTGCCTGCAAAGCTTTTCCCAATAGGTGCTGGCGCAGCCCAGCTCAGCTTAGAGCCTGATTATGTGCCGGCTGTGGAAAGGAAGGGCTGGGTTTATGCGCAGTCCTGCAGAGCTTTGCCCTCTACCCTAGAGCCCCATAGTGTTGAGACTTACTCCAGCCTTCATAGGCTAGAGTTCATCGACAGAATCAACAAGCAACTATGAATCATCTCCTGTGTGCCAGGCACCCGGCTAGATTCTCAACACACAGAGATGAATAACACACAACAGCTATTTCCCATTCCAAGTCCAGACTCAGGCAAAGAGGCAGTATCCCTGGCAGTAAGTGAGGATAACAGACTCCAGAAGCAGGCTATCTGGGTTAGTCCCCACGTAGAGGGTTCCCAGCTCAAGACCTCAGGCTTTCTCTCTGTGTACCACAGTGTCTTTTGGAAAGTCAGCACAGTGTTAGCTCCCAGGACAAAAGAGCAATGACTGGCAGGAAGCAAGTCCTCATGAAAGTTGCTGATGATTATTTGCCTTTGAGAGGAGGGGTCAGGCACTCCCACCTAAGACAAAGCACATGTGCCCATGTGTACACATACAGAGTCCCCTCCACACCCTGAGTGAACCTGGAATTATGTTTGCAGAGCAAGGTGTGTGTCGGTCCAAAGACCTTACCTCTCAACCTCCTGTTCAGAGCCATTGTACAATCTACTTCTCTTCTCCCTTCATACAGAAGCCCCCACCCCCATACACACATATGAAGACCAGTTTAGGGACCTCAGAAGCACACAAATAAGCTCTACTTCACAAGATGTTGATCTGTGTCCAAAGGTCTGGTCCCTCACTGCCTGTATTCAGACAGCTTCCTCCAATCCCTGCCTTTGTGCTCTGTCCCTGTGGTCTGATGCCTCCTTGGGCTCCATCTGCCTGCTGCAGTGACTAAGATGCTGGTTTGCTCAGACTTCACTCTGCTCTAGGGTAGACCCTGAGCAGTCAGAATTTTCAATAGCGGTTTTGAAGCAGCTTTGCAACGAAGGAGATACCCAGGGCCTAGAAATGACAGGAAGCTATTAGCACCCCAAACTTAACAAGAACTGGAATCTTATTAAGAGAAGGAGCTGGGGGAGAGGGACACAGAGATGCCTCAGTAGTTAAGAGCACTGGCTGCTTTTACAGAGGACCTGGGTTCACATTGTGGCTAACAACTATAACTCCAGTTCCAGGGGATCTGATACCCTCTTCTGGCCTTCATGGACTATTCATGCATGTGGCACACTTACATTAATGCAGGTAAAACACTCACACAAAATAAAAATAGTAAATAATTTTTTTTTAAAGAGAAAGGAAGAAGGGTCCTAACAAGATGCAGACCCGACTAGAAGCACCAAGGACTCCCAAACACCTGATCCCAACCTTATGTAGGACCCAGATAACTTGTCTCATGGTTTCCTTGTCTGACTGCAGAAGGCCTGCTCAACAGGAGGTTCCCTCAAGTCAGCTGGATTCTAATTATCTCATCTCCAAGCCTAGTTTCTCCAAGCAGTGTTATATGCGATCTCCTTCTCTCTCCAGAGAATCGGGAAGCTAGGGCTCAGGTCACTTTGTATACTGAGGCTTTTTGAGTGCTGAGAAGCAAGATTTACATATTCTCCAACCAAGATTCCAGAGTATTTTAGAATTCCGTCTGCCTAACTCATGTCCCTGTGATACCAGGAGAGGTATATGGGTTCTGAAGGAAAGCAGGACTAGGGTCAAATTTTTTCACTATCTGCATGGGTTTCACCATCCCCAAAATGTTCTAAAGGTTTCTTTATTCATTGCAAGACAATTCCCACCCAGTGGAGTTAGGATGATTAAGTGAAATAATCAAGGTAAAGCCTTTATTGCTGAGCTTAAAATAGCCTTACTGTCCACAACTGATATCTTTACAAATAATACCTACCAGCACTAATTCTTGATTCAGTGTTTATCTTTTGGTATTGATTTCTTTTTTCTGTCCTGTCACATTTTTGCTAACCATGGACACTTGCTCATACTTCACAATATTACCCGAACTACTTAAATTCTTATTTACAACCTGGTCCTGTTTGTAGTTGCTGCAAGTTTCTTTATCTCTAGACTCTGACCTAGAATACAGATGAATGTTCTCACCCTTATCAGAGGACTTCTTTCTACCCCACCAATTTGGTTGCATTTAAAAGTGTCATTCTGACGTATTTTTACTTGTATACTCCTTGTGCAAGAGAAAATACTTCTGAAAGATCCCCAAAGAATTAACTACTGCTGGTAGTCACAGTAGTAGTGGTGGTGGTAGTGAGGACTGATGTGTATTTAGTGTTACCTGTGTGTCCAGGAATGCTTGGGTCATTTAGCCATCACAGCAATCTTATTATTATCTTGGAAGATTAACTTATATCTGTGGGTCATTCAATTTCATCAATTGGCTCATGGGCCCAAGGGGAAAGAAGACAAGACTCATTTAGTCAGCTGTGTCCATTGAAGCAACCCTAACAAGCCATTGCCTGCAAATTATTTTCATGTGACGGTTCTTCTGACATCTCAATTCCACAAAGCAAAAACTGCAATAACTTGAGATTTAAACATAATTCCCACAGCCTGAGTCCTTTAGGTATAATGTCTAAGTTCTATTTTCCTATTTATAGAGTGTAGGTAAAGTAAAGCTTTGAGGTAAACATTAGAAAGCAGACCAAGTGTGTCCCTGTATCTCAGTCCAATAATTCACACCTAATTAAGTAAATTCTGAATAGGAGGGAAACTACATCTTCATTGTTGCTGTACCAGCTCTATAAGTCTAATTTAATGCATAAACCTTGGTGCTTATGTGGAACAGAGCTGTGTATTTGGCCAGTTACAGCAAGCATCTGTAGTGTTAGCATTAAAGTAGTGTTAGCATTAAAAAGGCAAGGGCTCAAATCCCACCCAGACATTCACATTTACTGGCTATACGGCCTTGGGGAACCTATTTACCTTCTCTTTGCCCAGTTTCCTCTTTGAAGAAATGAGAATAAAATGATGACCTGAATGAATGCTTATGAAGGTCCTTGCACAGCACTTGCCATCAAATAAGATCTCAAAAGGCAGAAGCCATTATTATAATAAAATAAGTTACTGGCATTGGGGATAAGGTAGTGGCAAGATATGGGAAGGACATTCACTGACCTTCTTATCCTTTGAATCACTGTTTATTCTCTGTCAGTTATGGAGCTATCTGCATAGATGGGAATCTTAGGCTCAGAGAAACATCCCCCAGAAGGTAACCTCCAACAGTACCACTCGCAGGCAACCCGGGGCCTACGTGAGGGCATGAGGGCGTTCTGTCTCAGCTGCCATTCCTCTTCCCTTTCTCCAGCTTATGCATCAGAGTAACAGGTAAATAAATCCTCATAATTTCTGAAGCTAAGTGGCTTCTGCTAAGGAAACCAAGCAATGCGGAAACACTGCACGTGTGTACGTGTGGATGGGTTTTGTTTTTTTTTTTCCTTTGAATTACAAGAAAATGGAGGCAGAAGGATGAATGCTGACCTCACCCTGTAAAAGTCAGAGAAAATGCAAGGGAACCAGAGAGTCAATTCTATAGAACTCTTTCTCCATGTTTCCCTGATCTTAGGCAACTGGATCATAATTAATTTCTGATCAACTCAGATTAATGACATTTGTAAATATAGATGAATTGTTGGATTGAGCTTCTGGTAAGGAGACTTTGCCTTATGGCTTGTCTCCAAGAGCCCTCACTGACCCTAGAGTTACACGCAGGAACCTTCATTGGGGATGAAAAGATGAGCGCTAGGTCCCTTTAACTTCACAATGTAGCAAAGAGGCAGCTTCAGTTTCTGAACTGGACCCGGTGGAGGTAAGCTGACTCCGTTCCACTGAAAGCTAGCTGAACACGATGACCATCTCTCAATTCTTCTCAAGCAAGCATGTAGGGAAGTGGGTGGAAACTGGCTTATTTTAAAAGCCGGTACTTGACAATTGATTAACTTCTGTTTTTCTAAAACTCGAGGGAAATTGTACTGATCTCTACGTAAATTTCACTTTAAAATTTAAATAGCAGTGCTAACTGAGACTGCCTATAATGTGCCCTGGTACTTACAGATCCAGTCTGAGCCTTGCCAGTTCTACGTGTTTCTCTCTGTTGCCTTTTCTTCTTTAGACTTATGCTTAAAAAGTAACTGGATACCACAGCTAAACCATCCTAGGGTGGGTTGTTTTTCTCTGAAAGTGCCACCTCATTCCTTCAAGAAACCACATTGAATGAAGTTTAGTCCAGTTCAGTTTTATCAGGAGACAGACAAGCAGCATTTCATTCCAAGAGCTGACAAGGAAGTTGGGCATAAAGAATAAGGGTATCATGAATAACGCCAAGTGTACTTGGTCCCATGTTATTACATTGATTGGCAGAATTAAAGACAGAAAGACACAGTATTTTGAAAGGAAAAGTGAGGAAGAGTGAGAGGATGAGAAAGCTTAACAGAGCAAACGAGAGATGACTTCTTCATTATTGGTATTATGGATTATTGCCTTAAAAGAATGTGTGCTTAAAAGTTATCTCATCACTGACATGTATACCCAACATGTATAAATCTCTTTGTCTAAGAAGCTAAACTCTCACATGTATTATTGAAGAATTTGCAGCATCGAATGACAGAAGGCAGAGTATAAAATACAAGAGGGGAAACAGTTAAATAATTGTTTTTTCCTCCAAGAAACACTATGCACATAAACCAGTAATTTTGCAAGCTAATGCGTCATCTACCTCATTCTTTATCTTGTTTTAAAATCATTCTTTTATTTACAATTGAGAAACTGAGTCACTAATCAGTTCAGTGGCCGTCAATGATGAAACATTCGTGGTAGAGTTCTGTCCTACAGCTCTGCACAAACCATCACATCCTTAGTTTTTTTTTTCCCTGCCCACTCAGTCAGGGAGCTGTAATGAGGAAATCAATATATTTCTGTGAGAACCATGCTTGCATTCTTATTTTCAATCCTGCATCAGTACAGAAAAAATTGATTGTAAGAGAAAAGCAGAATAACACAAACATTTA